AGGTTGATACTAAATTATACTGTAAACCTGAAGTGTTTGGGAGATGTGTGTATATATATATATATATATATATTACATGTAGACATGAATATTTAAGACAAATAAATATGTTTAATTAAGCAGGTGCTTAAATATTATGGTCTAATACTACTTTATATTATCAAACTGATATTATATTTTACCCACAGTTATGTCTCTTATAGGCATAAATGTGTGTTAAGACTATGAACCGTAAACTTCTTGTTGTACGGAGAACTATCTCCTGGCTTCAGTTCCTCTTTGGCAAACAAATCCGCGACTGACCCTCGGGGCGGCCAGGCGCTGACATCAGCAGCGTGACGTGGACAGCATCAAAGCGAATATGTGGTGCGATGCGCCTGTAGCGAAGCCTGGACTTCTGTGTCCCCTTCTAGGGTTCATGTTCCCCGAAGGAGCCAAAAAGCAAAACAAGCCCATGGGTTGATTCTGACTCCTGGTGACCCTGCAGGACAGTTGGTTCAGTTCAGTTCCTCTCCAGCCCCAGAAGAATTCCTCAAAGACTATGTGCTCGCTGCTACATTGTGTCAAAACTGGAACGAAACGCATCATCATTTGGACTTTTATCTACCCTCTAGGACAGATTAGAACCACCCCATGGCGTTCCCAAGGCGGGAGTTTTTGGAGAAGGTGACGATCACACCTGGCTCCCATGCAGGGGTTGGTGGCTTCCGACTGGGGGCCTTTCCCTTAACTGCCGAGTCCTAACCACCGCGTCCCCAGGGCGCCTGGTCTGCTGTGTCAGCTGGCTCGTGTCTGGACGTGTCTGGACGTCTCGCTTCTGGTGATGCACAGGTTAACTGCCTTGTCCTTCACTGCAAAGTCCCCAATTGAGTGAAGCCCCAAATAGAAATTATTTTCTTAGGCTCTTCAAAATAGTGACATTCTTATTCTGTCATACTCTACATTTATTAGTTGTTTTTTTTCCGACTTAATTTTTTCCCCCTTTATTTGTCTGGGCTGACTACCCAATAAGACAGTTCATGTTGGAAAGGCAAGATAAAAGTTTTTTTTTCCTTTCTTTTAATCGACAAATTCTGGGTAAGGTGTTGTTGGTGTATTAGGGACAATATATATATATATATATATACACACACACATATATATATCTATATGATGTTTTATATAGTATATAAAATATATTTTATATATGTTTTCCTTCTCCACGTTACAGACGAGAAATTGAGACTCAGAGAGGTCAAGTCAATTGAGCACGACTCCAACTAGTGGTTGAGCTGCAGAGCTGGTGTTCACCCCACATGAGGCAGCCTCCCAGCACGCGCTGTTTCCCATATGCCACAACCCTCCTCTGCCCTTCGCTCTCCCAAACGCTGACAGCTGGGGGTTTTCCTGCACATTATCGCTACTGCTTTGCCGGTAGAAACAGAGTCCTAGAATTCCCCCCAGCAGGAGGCATTCCGCTTTACAAGCTCACACAGTATGCTGGAACCATGGTTCCCAGTGGAGGGGTTGACCTGGATAAGCAATAAGTTGGGCAGAGCCACAAATGCCACCATATTTAGTAGGCAAGACTTTTAGGCATCACAGTTTGTACGCCGGGTCCCTGCTGCAGCCAAAGTGTAAATCATGGTTGGGAAAAGATCAGGCTAATCAGGGGGAAAATAAAAATGGGGAGGTCTGAGAATCAAAGGTGTTATCACACCTGCCCTTTTCTGAAAGGACTCCTCTTTCTTCTACCCGCCCCCCCAACCCCTCACCCCCAAGATCCTGCTGTCGTCATTCCACCCCGACGGGGAAACCTTAGCCAACTGCCTAAACATTATTATGTATTTTATAGGTGCTCAAGACCTTTTATTGAATGAATGACTTTATTTTAAAATTTATTTTATTAATCATTTTATTGGGGCTCATACAACTGTTATCACAATCCGCACATACATCAATTGTGTAAAGCACACTTATACATTC